TGAGTGGTCGCGAGAAGTATACCCACCTTCACTAACATCATATGTATCATATACATCTGTTGTATACGAGGACGGGTATGATCCAACAACGATAATGATGTTCAGTACACCAGTATAAGGCATTTTTGCTCCAACGCTTACTGCTGCCACTTAGTAGCGTTCTTCGGCAGTGTTCAGCAACTTCTGTAGGCAACAACTGCTTGTGGTGTTGTCGACTAAGTTGCTATATCATCGAACCATGGTTGGGTGATTTGTCAACCTTCATCATCCTCCGTATGCTGTTTATTCCTAATCATCAACTTTGTTTTGATATGATGATACTACATCAGCATGATATGACCCACGTATGGAGTGGTGAGCTGTGCCTCCTCTTATGGTTATCTATAGTGATGATAATTTATCATCATCATCGTCATCGTCGTTATAATGGTGATCCTCTTTAGTAGGATACAATCATTCAGGGTGGTAGCCACTGAAGAAGGCCCATGAGAAGTATGATTATGATTATCGTATAATAACATATCACGATACAACTGGGTTAGGCAACGAAAGTAAAGAAACAAAGGTGGCCTACCTGACAGACAGGGTTACTCTAGCTAGTTCTGAATCAGAACGCTAATATCAGAACTTCTGATATTTCAATAGTGATGGGTATATGTTATATAACCATGGCCCAGTTGGGGAAGCCGCATATTTCCCACAACCACGAAGTTTTGGTGAGCGCGGCGAAAGGCCAGGTCGGACCAACAAACGGCAACAAGGGTGGCACGCGGAAGGAAAAATAGAAGAATTATTTCCTGTGTTCAGAAATATGGAGGTTTGGGTAGTTGCCACTGGTTTATCAAACCCGTGGCGCTTCTAAACTTTATCTCCTATATACAACATCCTAGCTATAACACCAGGCCGACTGCGAAGGTCAACAAACTGTAAGAGTGTTGTAAAACCACTCAAATGGAGATCATCTAAAAGCCCTCCCAATAAACCGCCCAAACCTATTTGTTAATCTTTCGACCTGTAAACTATGACCTGTAAACTTACATCATATGGTCAATTTCTTGCTTGGGGGAATCAAAACACTTCGACAGTTCCATACCTAGTTGTCGAGCATTCGCCGGAAACTTCTTATAGATTTTATCAACTATTCTCAAGCATGCTGGTACATCCACAACAATGTTTGCCATACGGTGCACCACACACCATAATCCCCTATGCACACACTGATCCTAAGAATGTACACAATCATGCACCATAGCCTCAAAGGAACCCATTTTGGCAACACCCAACTCAATCTCTATAGTCATACCTATCGATCCTTTAGATGCACCATCAATAACTTTGATATCCTTTGCTCGAATTCCCAATAACTTTCCAGGTCGTAGAGCTAATGAAATGCCCATTAGGATAGCATCCTTGGTTTGTTCAAGTTCCGCCGTTCTTAAAAACACCAACAGGTAATTTGAACAAACCTTTTGTTACTCTTCCGGTATCGACAGAGCTTGCCTCTTTTCCATCTGAGGTTTTATCTTACGCGCCGATTGTAACTTACGTCCGAACTACCAGCTTTTCATCCGGTGTCGAAATATCACCAAAACCATGTAATTGGTTGAGTGTTTTCAATTCCAATGTGTAATTCGATATCGTTGTGCACTGCAAATTCATTGATTCCACCTAACCCCTCACAAACATAACTTCTAACCAGACAGCCATCCCCATGGACTTATAATTGAAACGGTCGGGCGAGAGCGAATCTTGCGCTATAGGGTGCGCACGCCATAAGACTGAATGGCTGTAGACTCTTATCAATCGCCGATATAGATTGGAATGGCGTGCGCTTTTTATAGAAGTAGGGACAGCCTTGTTCTTGTTGCTGCCCCCTTCTAACTCGTCGTTATTATGTCTGGAGTGATTGGTATAGATTTGGGCACTGCTGATGCTATTGTTGCATCTGTTGGTAAGGGAGTAGTAGATATTGTACGTAATGAGGTATCTGAGAGGAAGACACCATGTGTCGTTGGTTTTACTGATAAGAACAGATTAATTGGTATTAATGGGGTATAATAATCATCTAATTATATTATTATTATCATCAGGTGAAGCGGCAATGACGTCTATTAAATCTAATTATAAGAATACTTGTCGTAACCCTAAACAATTATTAGGGAGGACATCAATAGATCAAGATGAGGAACTCATTAAGGAGAAGTTCTTCCAGGTATGTGATAATGCTATTGCTGATGATGGTAATAATAATATTAATTACTACTCATGGTAGTACTATCTATATAGGTACTGTTGGATATCGTGTATCATATCTAGGTAAGGAGAGAATATTATCAGCTACAGTGGTAACATCTATGTTGTTATCAAAGCTTAAAGATACTGCTGATGCTTTTACTACCTCATCAAATAGTAAAGATGTTGTTATTGCTGTACCATCTTACTTCCAAGATGCTCATAGACATGCTATATTGGATGCTGCCCGTATTGCTGGTCTTAATTGTCTACGAGTTATGAATGATTCAACAGCTACTGCATTGGCTTATGGTATATACCGATCTAATGAGTTCAGTGATGATACTCCAACAATAGTAGCATTCACATCTGTTGGTGCATCTCATTTTGGTACATCTATCGTTAAGTTTACTAAAGGTCATCTTACTGTACTTGGTGAGGCTATTGATACTACTGTTGGTGGTCGATATATTGATAAGATCCTAATGGAGCATTATAGTCAACAGTTTACTACTAAAACTGGTTTAGATCCCCTTAAGAATGCTAAATCTAGAT